ACATCTTTACAACCCACGGTTTCATTTTGTGTGTAACAGGCGATCTAATAAAAAGTTTAAATATTTAATTCAGAAGCTATTTAAAAAAAAACTAATAAGCCATTTTTATAATTTTTTGGGGAATGAAAATATAGCTTAAAAAATGCAATTGTGAAAATAAAATATGGAAATAATGTAAATCAACACTTTTGAAATGCAAAAACCATTTTTTTAAAAATAATAATTGTAAAACTGAATGGTTTTATTCTGATCACAACTGAAAACAATATTCTTTATGCAAATAAAAATTAGGCAAAATCTTATCAATGTGATTTATTAGCTTATAAAAAAGGTTAAGAATTATATTTTTAATTATTACAGAAATTAATACCTGAAATTCACATTTAACACGGCAACCGTTACAAAAACAGACAATGTGACCAGTACCATGGTGAACAGTAAATATTTACCCAAAAGTGGCACAGTGAGTGATGTGGGTGGTATAATTTCAACTAATAGGAGAAAGAACACAGTCAGTGATAGTAGAATAGATATACATAGCGATACCTTCTCTCCTGATTCAGATGGTAAGTAAAACACTAGTACAGATAAAAATGAAATACCAACGCAAGGTATAATCAAGTTGACTGTATAAAATAATGTTTTTCGCCTTAGCGTGATGTTGAAATAGATATCTAAATAAGGTTCTTCACAACAGGAATAATACTTCTCATGACGAACAGCTGGTACTCCCATGATATCCCATTCTACTGATAAATAATAATCCTGCAGATCAATACCCATTTCAATTTCATCTGAATCTGGAGCTTGCGATATGTGTCTTAAATCCATCTAAAAAAATTAAAAAAGTGAATATATTTTGGCATTTTTTAATACAGAAAAAAAAAAGTAAATAAAATATTTGTGAGCAAGATTTTTTAATACTAAATAGCTGTATTGTGACAAAATACTTAAAGGCAAATATTATATTAATACAGTGAGGTATCTAAACTAGAAGAACACATGGAATACTTTCAACGTGTGGTTACTTCGTGATGAATTTTCCATTAACCTGATAATTTACCTTTGAACCGACCGAAAAAAGCTCTATCCCAAGCCACACGTAGAATCGGAAACGTTACACTAGATAACTTTTTCTCACCATATATCCGTCATAAGTCCACGATCCAAACTTCATTGAGCAAGTTTGTTCATCAAATGGAAAATATTCGACATCAATTTCACAAAAAGATTTATAAATCGCAGGTGGTTTCCATTGAACTTTACCAGTATAATGAAGTATCGCCTTGGTCATTATGGTTACTTCATAGCTGCCATCAGCGCTAGATAAGTTAAAAAAATGTAATGGAACAGTTAAACGACTGTTATGATTAGAGCATGGACCTCTATGAATTCATTATTTTTGTTTAAAGTAATTTAGAGAGTTAAGAATTTGTGCAATATTGTTCAGGTAAAGCAAAAACAAATTTATCATAAAGAAAAATAGGCCCCTCTACGACCCTACAACTATTTACACTGTTATAACTTTTTGGTTAAGTCTCAATTAAATTAGTCAACATTTGAACTGACTGGTTATATATTCAGAATAATTATACAAAATGTATAGTACATATGATTCTGTACTCTAATTACGATAAAGATTTTACACATTGTTTATTTTGTGATAGAAATATAAAATTTATGTCTAATTACTAGTATTATACTGATTTACAAGGAATTGTTGTCAGAGTTGAATATATACTCTTTTAATTCAATTTACCTCGCTGAATCCAAATCTACAATTTAATTTTTCTATATATTAGTTTTTGAGATTATTACTAATAAGTAAAAAATGAGTAATTACACATAAAATATTAAATGAACATACATCATTAATGAAATATAATACATATGAATGCATAACCAATAAAAAATTTTATTTCAAACATTTTTATAAATAACAGTTCAATGGTAATAATTAGGGAATTTTTTTAGTATTTTTAAACACAATATTTTATATTAATCTCAAACATTTAAATTCAGTTAAACTTATCAATTATGAAATATAGTAAACTGATTCCTTTTATTACTAAGATATATTCTTAATACTTTTTGAATATAATATTTAACAATCATTTAATGCCTATGCACAATATATCAATGTAGCCAAAATAGTTTTAAAAATAAAATGAAAAATGACATGTGCTTAATTTTAAATCTTAAAATTATCAATCTGACATTATGACATTATTAAACATACGATTTAAAACATTTTTTTTACATTTACAATGTTAATGTTACAATGTTTTTAATTTTCGCACATTTTTTAAGTTTAATATTGTATATTTTTTATAAATAACAATATTTTACGTTTTTTTGATGTAATATACTTGTTAATTTACTTTTTTTTCTTCTGTTTTAACGTTATTATAATAACCCATGATTTTTATAATTTTAATAGAAATCTTGGTAATAATTGCTATTTAAATCTCGGTATTAAAAAATCAACTCTAGAGTACGAAAAAAAAAGAGGTTAAACACATTTTGAATCAAAATTTCGCGCGGATTATCGATAACATACTAAAAATTAAAATTAGGAATAATTTGTAACACATTTTTTTTTTTTTTAATTAATTTTTTTTATGTGTAATTACTAGTTTTTTATTTAATGGTAGTGACCTCAAAAACTAGAAGTAATCGAAAAAATCTAATAGTAGATTTGGATTCAGCGCGAAAAATTGGATTAGAAAAGTATATTTTTGTTTCTGTCAAATTTAAAAATTGTCAATTTGTAGACAAGTATTATTAAACGGTTTAGAAGAAAAAAAATAGTAATTTATTTCAACATACTTATTGTATAAAACAATATCAGGCAACCAAATATGTTCTGAAGGAACATATAATGTATCTACTCCGCCGTAATCTTCTGGATTCCATTTTAACTTGTAATCATTCCATTCCTAAAAAAATGTATCAATCCATAAAAGGAAAAAATATTAAATGACTTCTTACTTGTTCAACCCATACGTTTGTTGTCATTATTTGATTCCTTAAATTCTGTAATAGAATAATGTGTTAAACATTAATTAGTTACTATTTTAAATATATGAATTTAATCAAATTTTGTACTAATTCATTTTTTTAAATATACAAATATCTGCAATTATCAGTAAAATAATACTTTTACATTATATTTTAGCTCAATGTAATTATTTTGTGTTTTAAAATAAAGAAAATTATTGTAAGGGGTGTGTTAATTATTTAATTGATAGAAATTGGAAGCTTGTATTGTGGATTCTTAAACAATGTAAATTAAAATGGCACCTACATTAACTATCTATAATTAATATTAATCGTTTATAGCTCTTATATAAATAAAATAAAATTAAACAATGGTTTTAAAATTGATCCAATATATTTGATTGTTAAAAAACAACAACAAAAACAAAAAACCATTGCAGTGTTTTATTGAAATTTTGATTTTTATTCATAAATAATAAAATTATACTTTTATGTAAGTTTGCTCACCTACTATAAGTATTACTTTAATGTGTTAAGTTTTTAATGTTATTAGTAATTAAATTTTATTTTAATAAAATATGTATAAGAAAATATTCGATAAAATGTGAGTGGAGATATAATTTCATTGGTATCAATTTAAATATGAATTCTATGTTTAAATGATTTTATAGAAAATATTTTTTTGATATTATTTCATGAATTATTTAAAAACAAATATCTAAAATGTATTATTCATGTTAAGTTTATAATATGTTGAAATTTAATAAGAAATTATTAAAAATTTTTATATTCGTGAATAGATAATTTAACAAATTTTGTATACACAATAAAATGTAAATGTAAATATATTTTAATTTTACTTACGACTTCAATTAATTGAGATAATTTAAGGCCCATTTTGACAGTTAAACGATCTGAATTGTTACCGACCGGCCTTATAAGTCGGTTATAATTACTAAGGAGATCGTCATACAACCGTTTAGCATCGGGACTGCTGTTTACAAAGGAATATGGTATCGCTAAAAGTGTTAAAATAACCGTAGAAATAACAAAATTATTTGTCTTCATATCTAAAATTAGAAAAAAAAAATGATAATTATTATTTTCAATAGTTGGTTTACATAAAATAAATATTTAGCTATAAAAATTTATTTTAAAAGACTAAGTATTTTACATTTCCAGTGAAGGGTCCAATTCACTAGAAGTGTAAATCCCATTAATGTTGTATTTGTATATATATATATTAATTAATAATAATTGTATTTTATTCATTTCGATCGTTTTAATAAAAAGTACCTTAGGGTAATTAGGAAAAAAAAATTAAAATTAAATAACAAATATTTTCTATTCATTCAGGTTTAAATTATAATTGAAATAGTTGTCGTAGTAATACGAAATAATGGAAAATAGTAAACGAACAAATAAGAATAATGTTTATATCAATTATGGCATAATATTTACATAATATAATATAATATATTTATGAGAAAAGAAAAAATACAAGATTTAAAATGGCAACGCATGCGTTAAAATTTCATATTTATGAATAAATACAGGAATGTATTTTTATGTGTCTTTTGTATGATAAATCATTCAAAAGAGTGTTTATAATTTTTGTTAATATTAAATATTGAATTAAATTTTAATCCACTTAGCTGGTGTATAAGTTTAAGATAAAAATAACTAAAATAAAAACGATTGAAGTAAAAATTGCATAATTGAAAATTGTAGCCTTAATAAGAAAGTTAAAAGGTCAATTCTATGAAACATTTGTTTTAAACCAGTGCCAAAAACGGACTTAAGAAACTGTTCCCTATTCGTTGACTTGAAACGATTTTGCATAGCAAAATGATTGACCATTAACGACCAGTGTTTGGTCTATAAATCACGAGGTGTTAAAACGTCTGACAAAATTTGTCAGATGTATATTAAGTATATAAGTATATTTAATATACTTTTTCCGGGTAATGAGGAAATCAATTTCTCAGAAATAACTATTTTACTCACCTTAAATATTTTGAATAATTGTATGTTTGAAAAAGAGGCTTTCAAATATTTCGAGTTAGCTAATAAAATGTTGATTTATTTAAATTTCCAAACTAAGTAAGAGATATTTTTGTAAGACTAACGTTGCGATTTTAATGTAACTAAAATAAACATCAACTTATATTCATGTTTGTAAATCGCAATTGGTAATTTTGAATCGTCGACAATGACATAACAGCATAAATAATCGGTCGTATCACATTGACTTTCCTTTTGAATGGTTGTATTATAGAGAGTTTTAAGCTTGCCTTTGTTAAAGAATAAAACAAAATGAAAATTCCCTCTCAAAGAGTCAAGAGAAGCCTTGCTATGCTTTTAGTACTCGAGTGACAAGACAGGAGGAACGTGTGGCGTGTATCAATTGCACTTTTAACGCTATATAACATTTAAAAATTAAAATAAGCAAATCGGTTTTTAAAACGGCGATGCGATGACTGAGAGGACGGCCTGGGTGGTATAAAGGGAAATAATGGTCCATTGCAAGAGAAGAGAGCGTATCGATTAACTTTGTTCTCCATGAAGGTCTTTAGGTGTTTACATGATAAATTTTATAATGTCCTAAAGTTTTTTTAATATTAAAATCAAATAATAAAATGATTGAAGTATTTTTATTAACTATTGGAATATCATATTTACTCACCTTAAGTAAAGTGATATCCAGTTTTTTATTTTATTGTAATAGTGGAGTGTTATGTATCCTTGTTAGTAATTACAACAGAAGAAAGTTACAAAATTAAGATTGATACGGCAATAGACCGCGAACCTTTTAGAAGGCTTATATATTTTTTGTTGTTCGTCATGTTATTACTCTTTAAGTTGTCGGACTCGCATCCGAAAGTGTATATTTAGTGCATAGGGCGTTAGTCCGCACAGTGTACTGATCTTTGTGGTACGCGGTTCATCTGGCGGCGGCGGCCAAAGGGATGAACGAGATGGGACGAACTTTCACGAATGAGACCGATCTTATCAGTCAATAAAGACCGATTCGTTCAAATCAAGTAAACTTTTGTGCTTTTTTTCCGCTGTTGGACAAAATGCCATGTGAAAAATAATTTTTATCATGACATTTAAATTTCAATTTCAATTTAGCAATCTATCATATCAACAGAACTATCTGTTACGAGTTACAATTTGTTACATTGCTACAAGTTTTATGTCATCAGTTAAATAATTTCGATGACTTAAAAGAATAGTTTATAGTTTGATTATGTAAAATCATGAGTTTTTTAATGAGCGTGTGTTAACAGGTGTTTGATATCGTGAAGCTGTGTGTAATAAGTACTAGAATGAAAATAACAGCGGTGTGTAAAAATAAGATTATTTATTAAACTCACGGATGTGTGCTACATGAACTGTTATTTTTCTTCAAAAGGTATCCATAAAAAAAATATCGGAATCTAAATTAAGTTGATTATAATTTATGAAGAAATAATATATGTTTTTGTTATATCAGTATCATTTAAATTTGACAAGTGTTTTGTTGTACTAATGTAGAAGTTAACTAGTTAAATAATATACTTTTATTAATATTAAAACTGATTTTAAGTGTAAAGATTTGAATGTTGAACTAGTTCAATGTTAAAATCGTGTATGTGTTAATAGGTCAGTAATGTTTGAAATTCCCAAAGAGATAACAAAATATGTGAAGAACAATTTTTTAAATCTTAATTGCAAATTTTATCAAGGATTTATTAAAATAAAACTATAAATATTTTAACTATAGTGGTAACACAACTTTTTATTTTTATGACAAATTATAAAAAGTTACAACATAAATGAAGTTTTCTAAATTAAATTACGAGATACATGTGAAAATAAATAGTGTAAAGTATGAAATGTTGTTTGTTGTACGACATGGTGTGGTCTATCTCCAACACCTCTTTTAGACGATATTTATATGAAATCGAAAAGTTGTGCTGCAAAAATTCTGATATTTTGGTGGTTTGTTTTAAAATTTTCCTCTATTTGAACCACAAAGTGATTGCACTGTAGCGTTACAATATTTAGGGGTGTCTAGGGTGTGTGCACTGATGAATGTATAGATCGAAAAGGCGCTTAAGTCAGGGGCGCACCCGTTAGTTGTTTAGTACAGCATCCGACGCTGTGGCCAGCACACTGCACAGGTCGCTATCGATTTGCGCCCAAGACCGCCGACCGAATGTCGAGCGTCCATTATTTGCTGATNAAGTGTAAAGTATGAAATATTGTTTGTTGTACGACATGGTGGGTCTATCTCCAACACCTCCTTTAGACGATATTTATATGAAATCGAAAAGTTGTGCTGCAAAAATTCTGATATTTTGGTGGTTTGTTTTTAAATTTTCCTCTATTTAACCCACAAAGTGATTGCACTGTAGCGTTACAATATTTAGGTCTGTCTAGGGCGTGCGCACTGATGAATCTATAGATCGAAAAGGCGCTTAAGTCAGGGGCGCACCCGTTAGTTGTTTAGTACAGCATCCGACCCTGTGGCCAGCACACTGCACAGGTCGCTATCGATTTGCGCCCAAGACCGCCGACCGAATGTCGAGCGTCCATTATTTGCTGATATTTCTTTTGGGCAGCTGCTTATGCAATCCAGATGCAAAGCGGCTGTACGACGATTTACTAAGCAACTACAACCGACTTATTAGGCCAGTGAGCAATAACACTGATACTGTTTTGGTCAAACTAGGCCTAAGATTGTCTCAGCTCATCGAGTTGGTATGTTTCAAAATGCTAAAAATTTTAATTTAATAAAATATATATTATATACATATTTGAAATTGAATAACTTGAAGTTTTTAACCATGATATTAGCCATAGCTTAAAAATAGTGTATATTGCAAACGTTACATATATGGCTTTTGTATTAAACATATTAGATAAACTGTAATTTTATACTCATTTTGTACTATATTTACTATGATATCCTAATTAAAATTGATTTAGTTCAGAAGTATAAAAATTTATCAGATATATCACAATCTATAATCTAGTTATACAGTTATTATTATTAGGAATTATAATACTTAAGGTATCTTAGTTATGCTAAATTGCTTATCGATTAAAATTATTTAATAAAAAAAAAATACTAATATATAAATTTATAAATTATAAATCAAGGATGCAGAACAATTAACGCACAAGTATAATAATTAATTTATACAATTATGATTATGATAAGATTCTTAAACTAGCAAATAAATTATTACATTACACTTAATATGGAGGTGGATCAAGGGGTGTTATGACCTCCTCAATCAGCCACTGTCTACCACATAAAACCTGCAATTTATTTTTCACATTTTTATTTTGATAGCTCTTGTAACTGGCTATTGTAAACTGTTTTTACGTCAATATTTTCTCCATATTTCTGGGCTAATTCAAAAACAACGAACGCTTGTGAATCATTTAACGGTTATCTTATCCACCAACATCCTAATATTTAATTGTTTATAAATGTTTTGAAAGAATTTACAAATAGACGTGTTTATTAAAATAAGAAGAGTAATGTACCACAATACTAGTAAATATGAGCAAATAAAACTTAAAAAACAAAAATATCTACAAGGTATTCTAAGAAATACGTCTCTGTAAAAAAAGTATCATATAAAAATAAACATACATTTTGAATTATTTTTATATTATGTGTCTAATTATATATTTTTACTTAAATATTATTTATTTGAGAAACGTTTTTCATGTAATTATTACATTTATATTATGACGCTTATATCCTTACATTTTTTATTAAAAGTTAACTCATTTGAATATTTATGGTCAAATGAGAGTAGCTAATATTAAATATTTCAATAATTCACATTATTTCTATTTATAGAAATTAACTCTATCTCCATACAAGAGTTAATATTATATCGTTGTAGGGAGTTTATCAGTCGCCGTTTTTAGGCATTTATTCTCAATAATAACGTCATAAGCAAAAAATAAATAAAATATTTATAATAAACGGAAATTTTTTTTTCTTAATTTCTCGATTGTTGGTTTTAATTAAAATTAGAACACTTTTGTTTTACAAAGATTTGAACAGATATAATGGTTAAACAATTAAACGGTTTCCCAAAAAATCAATAAATATTGTTTTAAGACTTTTTGGTTTAGGGAACACCAAGAAAAATTATTTACAAATTGTTTATCTTTGTTTTTCTTTTAGAATCTTAAAGATCAGATTTTGACTACAAATGTTTGGTTAGAACATGTGAGTTAAATTTTGCTGTTGCATAAAAACATGACTTAATTTTTTAATTTAAATATCTTTCAATAAATTAGGAGTGGGAAGATCATAAATTTCAATGGGAACCTTTGGAATATGGAGGTGTTCAAGAACTATATGTGCCATCTGAACATATTTGGATACCAGATATAGTACTTTACAACAAGTAAACTATTTAGTACAAAATATTAGAAATTTATTTTTATTTTTTACTTTTGATAGTGCTGATGGCGAATATGTGATCACTACTATGACAAAAGCTGTACTTCATCACTCTGGTAGGGTCATGTGGACGCCTCCTGCGATTTTCAAGTCATCGTGTGAAATTGATGTACGATATTTTCCTTTCGATCAACAAACGTGTTTTATGAAGTTTGGATCGTGGACGTACGATGGCAATCAGGTAATACATTCTATTTTTTTTATTATCCTTTGATAAAACAATTATGGACAACATGGTTACATCCACGAGACTGTAACTATCGTTCTGAAGATGGACTCTGCGACGAGTTCGGTACGTCAAATCATAACTGAAAACGTGGATACATCCGTAAACATTTCAAACAAAACAACAATCCATGAAAATTTTAACACATTACACTTATGTACAGTTTTAAAATAAATTATCATTAAGTAATTATTTCACACTATAAAATAATACACTTATATTTAGCGATGGTCATGAGCATACGTTCTATAAATCAAGGTCATATATGTTAATAGTTGTATACTTATGCACAAGTAAATGTAGGAACTATCTCCTCTACTATTGGTTATAAGGCTGCAGAATTAAATACTTAAGCTGTTAATTTTACAGTCCCGTGTAGTTGACGTCAATTCGTAAAGATTACACTCCAACCGCAACTATCTTACATCATTTATTGTTGTTAAAATGAATCTATAAGCGAATCTATTTGTGTAATTTTTGTAGCGTGTCAGTTATTAACTAAGATTATTCTATAATAATAATTTACTACACACATACATATATATATATACATTTATTTATTTATTTCACTAAGAGTATTCGAATAAAATCTCATTTTTACAACTAGGATAAAATGGGAATTTTATTTTTAGTTTTTATACAATTACATTTATAAACTATCAACCAAGGGATGTAACCTTATAAAAAGAATATTTAAAAAATAGTTTAAAATACCTGTTTAACCAGTAAAACCGTTTTTGACGAAGAAAGTAAAAAAACCGAGAATTTAACCAGAATCTCAAATTATTTGTTTAAAAACCCTTTAAAGTAGCAGAACTTTACCAAAAATCAATTATTCCAAAATTTCTAAAAATCAGTCGTAAATTATGACACTATGTAAGTCTATATGACTCACGTTATAGTGTTTTATTATAATATAATTAATTTAAGAATTTATAAAAATACTATTTCGGGCTCTAGTTATCACAAAGTAGAACGAGGGCATCTTTTATGGTCAGTATCCCACCAATGGTCAAAAATATGTTTTTCTATGGTAGACTCTTTTTGCGTAAACCTGCCAAAATAATGTCACATTTTGTTATTTTTAGTGATATTAAAAAAAAAATCGTATTTATGTTAAAAGTAATTTTAATAGATTAAAAAAACCACGAGTTGTATTAGGATGACTATAAGGGTTGGCTGTCCATATAAAAATTTAAAAAATGTCCAATTTCGTGACAATTTTATTTATATAAATACGTTATGCTTACAGATAAATTTGCAACATATAAGTCAAATGCAAGGATCTAATAAAGTAGATTTAGGAATTGATCTCAAGGCCTACTATCCCAGCGTAGAATGGGATATTCTTAGTGTACCAGCTGAGAGGCATGAAAGATATTATCCATGTTGTGTTGAACCATATGTTGATATATTTTTTAACATAACGTTAAGACGTAGAACATTATTTTACACAGTCAATTTAATTGTACCTTGTGTTGGTATATCTTATTTATCAGTTCTTGTATTCTATTTACCTGCTGATTCTAAAGAGAAGATATCTCTGTGCATTACTATACTCTTATCACAAACTATGTTTTTTTTGCTAATTTCTGAAATTATTCCATCAACTTCTTTGGCATTACCACTACTTGGGAAATATCTTTTATTCACCATGTTGTTAGTTGCCTTGTGTGTGGTTGTTACTATAATCATCATTAATATTCATTATAGGTATGTATTCCTGAATCTATTAAAATAAATTATATTATATATATATATATATATGTTTATATAATTATATATATATATATATATAATTATATAAACTATTTATTAATTATTTGTTCATTTATACACTTAGTAATATTTTTATTTTAGACAACCAAGTACCCATAAAATTCCATCGTGGATGCGTACAGTTTTTATTAGAGCTCTTCCAAAATTACTTCTAATGAGAGTACCAGAACAATTGCTTGTAGATTCAGCTCTTAAACAAAAACAAATGAAAACTTGTAAAAAGTTAAATCTTAATTTGGCTAGGTATTAACTTTAAATTTTAAACTGTTATACAGAGTGATTCTTTTGACGTTATATACATAATATTTTTTATAATAGTGATAATTTATTTATTATAAAATAATTTTTATGTTCATTTATTATACCTTGTAAAGATTCCAAATAAGTTTTTTTCATACAACATACATTTAGAACTGTCTTAAAAATAAAAAAATAATCTTATTATAAAATGGGTGATCGATAATAAATTTAGAATTATAATTTTGCTGGTGAGAGAAGCGTGTTTAAGAAATGTCTAAGGATAATTTTTATTTTTAAACATGTTATTTTAACCATAACCTGTTGTTAAAATTTAATAATGAATTTGTATTGGTCAACTACTTTCAAATACTATAGTTACTGTATTTTTTTTTGAAGATTTATTCTTGTTCGTAAAATGTATGTTGCCTCTAAACTTAAGAAATACTAATTAATAATCTACAAATCAAATAATCTATGTAATCAATATAATCAAATCTAAACAATATCCTCAACAAAATTATTATTAAAAAAAATATTCAGTTGCAAAAGTTAAATTAATTACTATGTATCAAAACAATTTGTAATAATTATGACAAAAAATAAATTTATATCATTCTAATTGGCTTATTTTTTATAGATTAAACGCGGCTAGTGTTGGGGCTACTTTGAACGTACCACCAGTTCCAATCCCTTCACCTCCAATAGGTCGACGATCACCTACAGACTCTTTACGTAGGTTCATGGCTACAACTGGTCGCACAGGGTGCAACGGAACTGCAGCCGCGGGTGCTGCTAGTAGGTTAGTTAATGCAGCAGTGTCTTCAATAGATGATACATTTAACGATATTCCAACCGCAATTAGAAAAAAATATCCATTTGAGTTAGAAAAAGCAATACACAACGTTAAGTTTATTCAACATCATTTACAGCGTCAAGATGAGTACAACACGGTAAATAAGCAATTATTTATTAAAGTTTTTTAAATTAGTAAATACTCCTATTATTAATTTAACTGTAATTTCAAATTTTCATTTGAAATAAAATGTTGAGACCTATATAATTAAAGGTATTAAAAAAAATTAATATTTTTAAATTAAATTTTGTTTTCTTAACTGTAACTTTAGCACAACACCGTAGAAATAATTAAAATTTTATTTGAACAAATGTCATTTATTTAACTGATTTATATGTTTTTGATTGAAAAAAGGTTTTTATTGGTTAAAAAATCGTTCCTCCTGTATCTTTTTTAATTTTATGAATTAATGAACCTAATAAAACAGTCTATGCCATTTATGTTACAATTATTTTTTTGATTTTAGGAAGATCAAGACTGGGGATTTGTAGCCATGGTACTAGATCGATTATTTTTGTGGATATTTACAGTAGCTTCCATAATGGGTACTGTTATGATATTATGTGAAGCTCCATCACTTTACGATAACACAAAACCAATAGATAGGGAAATTTCGTTTATTGCCAAAAAACAATTCTTCCCAACCTCTGATTAGTGTCTGCTTTTAAATTGCAGACTATTATGATTTTTAAGTGAAAAATGTTGGAATACTTTTGGAAATCACATAAAAACTAAACACTCCGTTTCAAACTTAAAGTACCTAATAAAATAAATCGTATTAGAAACGACATTTATTTTTGGTTATTTTCATATATTAGGTATTTAATGACATTTGACGGAAACCATTTTTATATATTGAAGTCACCTCTGTTTTTATTTAATGGCTAAGTAGTTGATTAACTAATATTTATTACCGAGAAAACGGATTTACCAATAAACAATTGACTCTTTTGTATTAATAACGATTTAATTAAATTTATTATTACTGCCATTGACTTAGATTAAAGGTTTATTTATTTTTAGATAAAATAAAATTGTTCAGGCAAATTTCCTAAAAAGAAAAAATTAGTTAAGTAGTTACACAATATTACAAAATTATCATTTGAATTTATACATATACTATTATTGTTTTATTGTTCTATTATTGGAAAAATAACATTTAAAATTTGATATTATTATTCAATTATAGTTTTTTAATATACCTGTTATTTAAAAATTTTTACTGAAAAATAAAAACCCTTTGTATAAAAAAAGTTTCATAGTTAAATAATGTTTACAAGTAAATGTATTAACATCGGGTTTACAGCTAAATGGGTTTCAATAAACAGAGTAATCACAACTCACTTAATTACTTACAAAATAAAAATAATTTCGGAAATATTATTTTTTATTAAAAATGTACATTAATTCAAAAATTGAGAACTATATTTAACTAAAAAAGTAAAAAAAAATTCCCAAATTATTTTTATTTTATAAATGATAGAGTTAAATAAACGGACCACTTGGAATACTTATTGTATTTCTGGGCAATGTAACTGGTTAAGACGTTTCACAACGTTGTTATAAATATAAAGTAATTATTTTTTCTCGGGGTATATTTACATTTTTCATACAACAAAAAGCATTGGATAATTTTAGATAATTTAGAGAATAAAAGATATATTTGTTATATTGTTCTTAAAAAAAAAATGTATTAGTAGGTAAAAATATATTAACATGCAAAATGACTTTTTAATCTCCTTATAATCAGTTTGGGTTGACACGTGAGTATTACATAAATTACTTCCAACAAAGGTTTTTAAAAGTATCTTTAATTTACATCAATAACTTATTTAACAATTATTGAAAATTCATAGATCTTTGTTTATTATTTTAATGAATTAATTTTTATATTCGTTCAACATTATTAATTAATAATAATAATTATAATATTTGTGTTTTTTTAATTATTTATAATCCAACTATGATAATTATGTTAATAACTCATTATAAATCAACTGTGTTGAAATTTTATTTCCTAAATTATGGCGAATTCAAATAAAACATTTTGTGAGTGCGTATTTCACTTAAACATTGTTTTTACAATTTTAACATTTTTCATTAACTTAAATGTTGTTAACCATTAAAAATATTTATTTGTCATTATTATTATCATTATACCAATATAGTAATATCAAAATTACTGAGCTATTACTTTTAATATCTGAAACAATGGAATATTATTTTTTATAGTTTATTTTTAATGTTATGCATGCGGACAATCTATATTGTTTGATTGTTGTTTATGTTTTATACAGTGGAATACTTTTAAGCATGTACATCAGCGTGTATATAATACATAGAATTAAATCACTTCTAAAATGAGTCTATTATACGATTTGCAAAAACTTAGCTTAATTAATGACTATAAAATCAATTTGTATAAAACTAGTTAATCACATATTAAGGTCAGTTACGGCCCGAGTAAATATTCGATCAATGCCAGTCAAACAAACCTACTTATCATAAAAATTGCTTTATAATAGCACTTCTGTAACCACACACCAAATTATATTTACGCAAACCACAATTATGTAAATACATCAAGATCGTTGAACGCTTAACTTCATTTATTTTCGCATTGTTAAATAACGCTTTTAATTTTACATTTTAGCAGTATTATCAAAAATCAATCATAGATAAAATGTAATTCCAATATAAATTCATTTGTTCTTATGATACATACAGGTATTTAAAAAAAATTTGTTTTTAAATGTTTAATTTAAAAATTATTCTAAAGAAAAATAAATCTCGAGATATTTGACAACAGCAATTTAATATAATTTTTGTTATACTACTAAAATAGGTTTTATAAATTATACTTTAATGTACATATACTTAATAGATTTACTTTGTTATGTATAAAATGTATTGAACATAAGGATAAGTTATGTACAAAATAATTTTTGTTGTTAATGTTTTTAAATAATATATGCTCAATATTTTTAATTATACGTTTAATAACAAAAAAATCAATAATTTATGAATAATTTTTATTTTTATTTGTTTATTTATTTTTTACATAGCGATTAGCATTTCAAGACATAAGTATTCATGTTATAATTACATTTTTGTATTTTATAGACAATAGCTCAATTGCTGTATTATATAATTTTAAATAAAAAATAAGTTGTGTTTTTCTTTATGTTAATTGTACAAAAGTATATTTATTGATTGTTTTATTATATTAATAGTGTTAATTCATTTAATAAAAAAAAACTATCATTAATGACATATATTCATTCGTTAATATTTGAAAATTATAGAAAATCATTTCTATTATTTTCGTATCACGAGAAATTAGTGAAACTGATTGTTGTTGCTTAAACTAAATATAAAAAAAAAATTTAAATAAAATAATTNAAATATAAAAAAAAAATTTAAATAAAATAATTTAAATATAGTTAAACTCAGCGGTATTCTACGATATAAATTTTAGTACAAATTTAGAGATCAAGTACTATACTAGTATAATAATTGAACGCAAATTATTATTACTACAATATTCGATATAATGCATATATCTATTAAAGATTTTTCGTACCTCTAAATATTAAAATCTACTTTAATTTATTTAAATTNACTATACTAGTATAATAATTGAACGCAAATTATTATTACTACAATATTCGATATAATGCATATATCTATTAAAGATTTTTCGTACCTCTAAATATTAAAATCTACTTTAATTTATTTAAATTATATTTGACTCATAGACTGGATGTTTTGGTATATAATTTAATTAGTTTATTTTAGGGTATCATAATTGAGTATAAATAAATAAGATACACAGTGTTAGTTAAATTAAATTAATTCTATGATATATATTATTTGTTTAATGGAAGTACTGAAGAATGTATTTACACATAGAATGTATATTTACAAAGTTCGAAAAATATTTTTACAACAAAATACAGTAATTATTTAGGTGATATATTAAACATACTATTTTAAATTAAGTCTATTAAAATATTTGTTGGTTTAGCCATGTTGCTTTTACTAAGTCTGCTCCTTTTTCGCCTATCATGTAAGCTGGCGCTACTGTATGAGCTCCTGTAATTGTTGGCATTATAGAACAGTCAATGACTCTTAGTTTAGAAATTCCGTACACCATTAATTGAGAATTGACAACAGCATTTTTGTCCCATTCAGGACCCATTTTACAAGTACCACTTTGATGGTGCATTTGCATTGTCATTCTTTTAACGCAACAAGCCCAGTATTCATCAGAACCAAAAGACAAATGTTTGCAGCCGGGCATAGAACGTGGATTTAAGGTAGATCCATATCTTTGAAAAGCCTTAGTTTTACTTAATTCTATGACTTGTTTAATACCTTCCACAATACGATATAAATCAATTGATTTGTCAAAAAAATTAGCTCGAATAATTGGTTTAGTGTGGGGATCAGCATTTTTTAGTCTAACCTATTAAAACAAAAATAAACAAATATAATAATTCAATTATTGGATTAAAATGTGCACTTATAAAAATCATCAAAACAATAGTATGGTCAATTATGTGAATTACAAAAACAATGAAGTTTGGATGAATTTATAAATCCAAATATAAAATTTATATTTAATATAAATTGTTTAAGTATCAATACTAAAATTACAGTTTAAAAGATAGATTACTTTAAAAAGTTGGTTAATTTTTACTAACCTGTCCCCTACTTTCGGGATACATGAGCATAGTCCAGATAGTCCAACCATCTTTGTTTATGATTCCATTATAATAATCATATTCTACTGAATCTGAAACTCCCATCGACCGTCTTAATATGCCGCTTCCAGTCCCTTCTTCCCCAGCCAAGGTCATTGGTACAAATATATACTCTATATCCGGTACGTCTCCGGGATCTGTATTGTACTTGGTTTTAACGTATCCGAGTCCTTCACAACCCATCGTGGTAAGCCACCCAGTACCATCGAGAAAATTAAACGTTTCTTTTATAATATTTTTAAACAACCTTTGAGGAATTAAACCCACAGTTTCATTAACTGTAAAGGCTAAACCTGCAAATGAAGGATGTTCTTGGAGATTGTCTCCTACCCGCAAGTTACTTAAAGTTGCTATACCTAAAGATTCTAGGTGCTCTTTTGGTCCAATACCTGATAGCATTAATAACTTAGCAGAGTTAAATGTTCCAGCAGACACTATCACCTCTTTTCTGGCAAACACTCTTCGTTTTTTTCCTTTTTTTTCAAATTCAACTCCCAACGTGATTTTAGTTACTGGATCGATAATGAGTTTTGTTACAAATGCTGATTCAACAATATGCAAGTTTGTGAGGTTACTTCTAAGGTATGCTTTTGCAGATGTTACACGTCTTCCGTAGTTGATTGTTCCTTGAATTTTGGAAAAGCCAATATGACTTCCAGGTGCATTATAATCTACAATAGACATTCCTACTTCTGGAGCCGATTCAATAAAGGCATCAAGAAGTTTTGATTTAAAAGGAGCGTAACTAATAGGCATTGGACCACCAATGCCATGATAGGGCGATTTTTTTAATTCTGCTATTGAAATATCTTCATTTTTTAAGAAATACGGTAAAATATCTTGGTAAGACCAACCAATATTACCGGCTTCTGCCCAACGATCAAAATCTCTTACGTTGCCTCTTGTGTAAATATTATTATTAATAATTGTGCTACCACCCAAACCTTTTCCAGCTGGCCATAAGCATTTTTTATTTTTATTGCCTTGGCAAGCAATTGGTTCTGGTTCAGTTGTAAATGCCCAATTAAAACGAGTGAATTGTAAATAATGAGCTATTTGTGGTATTGATGTAAAAATTGATTCTTCTCCACCAGCTTCAAGAAGTAAAATTTTCCATTCTGAGACTTCAGCTAATCGAGTAGCAACTGTAGCACCAGATGCTCCAGCACCAACCACAACAAAGTCATACTCATTGAATATCGGCTTATTACCAAACAAAGGATCTTCACGAAATGGGATCAAGTTCGACCGATAACGGTCACCTAAAAATGTTAAAAAATCGAAGCGCAGAGCGAAAGTAAATGGCATTGAAAATACAAAAAAAAAACATATTGATTTATATATTCTTGTTTTCATGTTGAATTTTTTTCTTCTTCAAGCTAGCCAAATTAATTTGAATCATTCAAAATTCGAGTCTAAAATAAAAAAATACATGAAATTATATTTTCTGAGTAAATGTGATACATAAATTTATGTATCACTCCTTATGCTATCATCGGTTACTTAAACAAGTATTTTGAACGTTAAAATATGCCAAAATTAATTTTGACGTTCAAAAACCTATTGCGGCTGCCCTTCTAAAAATTCTGGATCTACCTCTGACTAAGAGAGGGTATTGAATATATAGGCGAAACTAGATATTTAATTTGATTTCACTTCTTTTAAAAGTTGTACTATACTTATTAAGATCATAAGTAATGGAAGATTAATATACACATCAATAGAGGTCTATAAGACTGGTCCAGAATACATTTGACCCATATTGTAGTTTAACTATATGTACATGGGTTTATATGTATGGATGCACATGCTCTGGGAGAAATGATTTAAGATGATACTGCAGAAAATTCTAGATTTTAAATGTCTATTGGAAAATGTGAATTTTACTGTGAAGTTCACATTTATTTAATTTTATTGCTACTACTTAAAAAAAAAGATAATAAACATTGATGATAATTTTTTATTAATAGGATTTTTAAATGCACTCTTAATTTTTGTTAAAAATCTAAATAGAGATATTCTATGATCTATATTTTAAAAATGTGTACAATCCATTGGCGTTATTAATAACATTCTGTATCTAATATAAATGACTTAGATTGTAATAAGTTGGTTCAATACCTAAAACTTTTCATTTTGATTATTACTAAAATTAAATCAATGCTTTAAACAAACGGACAGAAATTAACCAATAAGACCATGTATTACGCGTTTAAAATTTAAAATTATGTTAATAACGTTATATTAATTAACTTATATTTTTTTTGAGGCTTTCAAAAAAATGTTTAATATGCTCAACCTTGATAATTAAATCTTATAATTATGAGTTTGTTAATTAGAATTCATGTAATATTTTTGATTATAAATTGTAATAATAATGATAATAACTTTAGTACTAAAATAACTAGAATATACTAGTTATTGTTTATTATTGAATGTTTTGTTATATTGAATTATATTTGTTACCTAATAAAATAATTTAATGGTGCAAATATTTTTACCACATTGAAAATACTTAGCGGAAGATAGCTATAATTTAATTTTAGAAGGTCATAATTCTCATAATATACTACGATATATTTTAATTCATATTGATATATTTTTGCTATTTTAATTTTTATGATAATTTTCTTATAGTCTTTATATCAATTTTTGCACTTTTTAAGGAGAGCAAAAACAAATTTGAAATTTCAGTGATAGTATTTTGTGCAAATTGATATTATTGGAATTTTTAGGTAAAGTTAATTTGTAATTTTTTTAGCACATTTGAAAAAAAAATTTACTTTTTAAAAATTATAAAAAAAAATATCTAAAACACATTTTTTTGATTTATTAAATTTAATATGTAGACAGATTTGTATAATTTTATTGATTATTTACTTTTAAATTAATATTAAAAAAGCAATAGAAATAATATCTTTATGAATTATTCTATAATGATCAATAATTAAAATATTTAATCAATGTATTTGTGTTTAATGTTGATAAAAATTAAATTTTAAATATATTTAAATGATAAATTTTGTACATTTAACTAAAAGTAATCCATTTTGCATAAACTTTAAGTAGCGGAATTAAAAGAATGTTATGTTATTGTACATCAATTATAAATAATAATGAAAATACACGTTTTTGTAAGAGAAAGTTGTATATATTTTATAATGATTGTTCACTCGACAATCGAAGAATTAAACTATAATGAAATTCACTGTTTCGATTCCAAGATGAGTAGTTTATTTTTACTTTACATTTAAGTTAAAAATAAACGATAATCAAAAATGGTTATTTTACGTAATAAATATAATAAATTTTATTTTCGAAATTCTTAAATAGTCCAATTTTACTTTATATTAAAATATATCTAAGTTATTTCAAGTGAGATCAGTTTTATAATTATAATAAATAAACACAAAAATAAATTTATTTGTCTAATAAGATAGCATCTACCCAACAAATCTTGTATTTCAATAAGTTAGTATTTACGACAATCAAATTATACATGCTGTGATTAACATTATAAATATATACAGAGTGATTTATTTATCACAAATCACTCGATTACTCTCAAAATAAATACATTGTTAAATAAATTGGTTTTTTTAGTTACTTATATTTCTTAATTTATAACCTATTGATTAGTTTTTAAAACTATCCTTTATAACTTAAATTGCTTATAACTTTTGAAGTACTGGTCCAAAAGTTGTTATTGACTAGTCATTTTATTGATTAGATTATTATTTAAAAAATAAGCTAGTTAATTATGTGTGTTGCTATTTGAAAAATATAGGTTGACACTCTTATAAGGTATAAGACATAAACATAAAAAATACATTATGATTGATAAATTAAGAAAAATTTGTACCTAACAAAAGCAAAAAAACAAAAATTCATACAAAATTATTATTTTAAGACAAGTTGAGATAAGCTAAGTTGACAAGCTAGTGTTAAAAAAATCATACAGTTCATTATACACGTATATGATTGGACTCATGGAAAAGAGACTTAAGTAATGACTTGCATATTTTCTTTTACGCAAAATTGTAGGTCACATTGTATGACAAAGTTTCGTATTCAGTTAGAAAAATTCTGAGATAATTACTCTTCAATGAGTTAATAAAGTCAATAATAATATTTCTATAATATAATTTTATATCAAATAAAAACTGCTGCCATAAAAAGTTTATTAAATTAATTCGAGTGTTTTTTTTCTGAGACTAAAGATATATAAATTCATTATATTAAAAATAAATTGCCTATTTAATTTTCAAAGAAAAAAAAGTATTGACTTTTAAATACCTAAAATATAATGTTTTATATCATAAAGATTTAAATTACACACATTGTTGAGTATGCACACCTATTAAACTGACTTCAAAACAATACAGTGATCTATTAAAGTTCAGTTACTTTTCTTGTCTACGATTTTCAGGACATAATACATTGCTATATGCAAAAAGTAGGTGATCTTGAAATCTTTCACTTTCTAGTTCCATATTGTATTCGTCGAACTAATTAAAAATTATCGCCGTTTTTGACATATCATTTCTTATGTAAGACGTAAATGCGTTACTTCATTCAAATACTGTACTGTATTGTAGGAAAACATAAAAGTTAATAAATTATAGAAGTAGATTATTATTCATAAAAATATTATGTTATTAGTTTGATTATTTCAATTACCAAGAATTAAACGAAAAAAAAATTTGTTAAAATACATTTATTTACTACTGTTGATCAAGACAAAATAATAAACATTTTTGTTATCATGGACTTTTTTAATTTGCTAACTTTTATTTTCAATAAAGCTTTAAGTCTTTTATAATCAGTCCAGCATATTATATGAATTATTTTTGTGTTGTGATGCTTTTTAAATAAAAAATGAAGACTTTACAGAAATATCATTTTGATAAGTTAAATATTAATTATAATGATTATTTTTATTCTGGTAAATTTTCGAGTTAAAAAAAATTACTTAAAAAAATAGATTTTAAGCAATTAAGGGATAAAAATAATAATAATAAATTAAGAAATATTATAAATTTATGGATCAACGTATAATTTATAATACATGTTAAGTATTTTAATTTCATGAAGTTTCATGCAATTATATATAAAGTTTATTTAGAATAATTTACATAACAAAGTTATTTTATATGGTTAAATTGCACGATTGGATAGGATATAAATATTTGTTTGTAAAATGTTTTGCTGTATTAATGTTATAAATTATCGAGGGCAAATTGTCGAAAAAAATAAAAATTTGACACGTTGTATTAAGTAATACGAGTCGTTGAAAAATTATAGCATCAGCGTTGTAATACTGAATTGTTTGTTATCTTTTATACATAGAAAAAAAATATTATAAGAAAATTAAAAATGGAATAGATATTTCCACTTTGTTTTAACAATATCAAGTCACAATATAATAACAATTTATTTATGCCAGCCTCTCTAAATAAAAGATAATAAACTCTTCACTTAATCCCACCCTATATTGTCGTTTCTACGTTACTGATTATGTAAAAAAAACCGTTGAATTATTTTAAAATACACTGAAATAGTTAAAAATTAATTATGATTATCATCAAGTAGTATTTTGTATAATCTGTAATAGTTTTAAAACTATTTTGTTCTGTTTTATTGAATGTTAAAAAATCAACTTTAAATCTTATGAAATAATTCACACAATTAAGAACTCTTTAATTATTGAGTCTATCTGGCACTATTAACAACTTGTGATATTCAAAATAAACCGTAGAACTTATTTTAAATATATTATGGGATATAATTGGAAAAGACTAATTTAAAAACATTTTAGCTTTTATATTTATTATCTAATAAGTATACTATAGTGTAATCATTGTTCTAAAGTCGTTTAATTTAAAAATGGTGCATTAAATTGTTACAATAAAAAGTCAAATACATATATAAATTTGTTAAAACTAATAATTTCAAAATTTACACATTTTCCCAGTTAATAATTATAAACTTGAAATAAAAAGAAAGAAGATTAATAAAATAAAATAAAAAAAAAAAAAAATATATATATNTTATAAAATCTAAAAATGTTCATATAAACACAAATATTATACTGTATAAATCTTTATTGTATATATTCAATATATTTAATGATCAATGAGCCGATGTTATTTTAAGGTCAATAAAAATAAATTTATTTTATTTAAAATTAATAATTAAGAAAAAGTGGTTTTTTTTATATATTTTCATATTAAAACTATATTTTTTAAAGAAAGCAGAATATTTTAATTAGTTGAATAATTATATTATTAATTACTCATAATTTATTAAAATTTATCTAATGGGTAGTAAATAAAAAAAAATGCTTACCTCTATGATTAGTAACTTAGTCAACAAGTTTGTATATTGGACAAAGTTTTAGTTCATTCCACAGTCGAAAAAACAATCAAGTTAAATTTTAATTATAGGACATATCACAATCAAAAATAGAAAATAATAAATTATATGTACGTTAAATTTTTTTTTTTTAATACATAGTTCATATGTATTTAAGACGTGATATCAGGTTTATTATTTAACGCACCGAAGAATTTAGAACACCGATGAAGCGTCGATTTGTTACTGAATGTTTAACAGAAATAGAGTGTCCAGATTGCTGTATTATCATTGACTGTAGTGTTGTGGGGTGGGTTATGATCTTTAGTTTTAGGTACGCTATCTTAACTATTGCAATTGACTGCAGTTTACTGTATACTGTTTTTATATAATACGACGGCATAGCAATTTAACTTGTACAAAGCGCGAGGTGACATTTAAATACGATTTAATGTAGAAGGAGTTCAATCTATTATTGGATAAATATAGTAGTTATCATAAGGCTGAATTAGTTACTTTAGTTAAAATAATGAAAGATCAATGTCATGCTATAATACACTATGTAATAGATACACTAGATTTAATTGTTAAATTAAAATTTATAATATTATAAATAGGATATATTTATTTAAATATATGCAGAAGCTTACAGACATTGTTTTTTTCTTGAGGATATAGTTAAAAATATTTAAAAAATAATAATAATTAAAAAATTTAATAATAAAAAACATTTTATATAAATTTAGGATTTTTTGGATTTTTATTAAAATATCTTAAAATCAATAAATGAAAATCTAGGAAAACTCATATACATTACTATTTTATTTAAACAATTCAATATATTTTTTATGCACTATAATGAACCTCAATTATTTAAAATTAATATACTTAAAATGTATTATTTAAATATTTATGTAACTTGTAAATAATAATTTTTTCATAAGTTTTGTTGTGAAATATTGCAATGGAACCTAGTTTAAGTCAGTGTTTATTTCAATCATATTAGATAACATCCCGTAAGAACATATGATCGGATCATTTTTTTATAATGTTGATATTATAAAAAATATAAAAATCGGTTAAAATTAATATAAATATTAGTCGAATGGAATTTATTCAGACATTTATATAATTTGAGAAAAATAAATCACAAACAAAGTAAATACCATAACATAAATAAAACCATAAGACACATATATAATTACACGAATTATAGAGGAGAGTATATACTACACTCTACACAGGAGGATATTTAGTTGTTTTCATTCCTCGTTAATAATATATTCCATTTAGAAGTTCATGTTGTTATATAGAATATTATTTTTTAAAAGACCAGTCTTATTCTTTAAATTTTCCTTATAAAATTGACTTGAATTTTTTAAATAACAACACAGTTATTTAAGTAAAAAAAAACAATGCAGTTTGGTTCCAACATAGTGAGACATGGCATAGTTTAATCTATATTGACTAAAATCACTAATATAAAATGTGTTTCATCGGAAAATGCTAGAAGAAAACTAGGTTTATTGTTTTTTTTTTTTGAGATAATATAAATTTTAAAGTGGAGAAGAATTTGCTTTTTAGCTTCGATGTGAAGCTGAGAAGGTATTAATTTTACTATGTGTTTTTTTTTGTGCCTGTTAACACTTTTTCTCAGCTATCACCGAACATATTTCTTTCAACGATACGTCAAAAGATCACAATTCATATCTAGTCGAAGATAATACCCTCAAAAATTAATAAAATTTCCCTCGTTCTCCGTAAATGTTGGTAAATCTCCAAAAAAAAATAGAAATTTAAAAATCCGTAATTTTCGACATTTTTTCAATTTTTTTATTTAAAACTGCCATAATTTTTTTAAAAATGTCCAAATTAGTATAATTTATTTTTATAGATACGTGAGGTACTTACTTATCATTTTGTGTATTTTTTTTTATAAATCTGACCTTTTACCTGCCCACACGGGAGGATTCAAAATGACAACTTTTTTAACTTAACTTTTGAAAGTGTTCCGGAAATACTGAAGAAATACTGAGACTTTTATATAGATCTTAAATTAGATTTAATGTAATATACTTTATTATGAAAAAATAAAATTTTGAACTTTATTTTGTTTTCATGGTGAAAACGGACATTAAAGTTAATTTATTAAGTATAATAAGTTATAACTTATTTTTAAATAAAATATATTTATTAATTATTTATACGTAACCTAATAATCAAACATAAATATTTGTTATATTAATTAGAAGGATTTTGTTATTTTTTAGCCCAGTTGCGAAACTCTAATTACAGATTTGAAATCGGCGAAAAATGGGTTTAGAAAAGTATATTTTGGTTTCGGATGAAAATTCTTTGTAGACCAGTAAATTTATTTATAAATAACAAAAAATTATTTTTTGCATCATGACCTTCAACTTTTATAAACGTTTGCTATAAAAGTAATAACTATTTTATAATTTTTTATAATTTCTCCATAAAAATTATAATTATAAATTATTAAATATAAATTTCATACTATATTTAATTGCTATAATAAATATTTATACATATATTACACTTATAAATCATAAAACTTGTAATCGGGATTTAAATAAGGAAATATGAGATCATGTTGCTTTTGGAATAATCCATAAATTTTTTAAAATGAAACACTATCTACAGATTTTTTATGATAGTGATTTTAATCACTGTCAAATTAAATCTATACTGGACCGAACTATGCTACGTCCTCACTGTGCCGCGACTCCATTGTGATGAGTTTTTTGAAATTCCTTAAATTTATCTGTACTATGATTATAATTTTTTGAGAAAAAATTAAATAAAAAATGTTTTGTTAGTTCTGTTTGAATTAGGCGAAAAATGTTTCATAGTAGACTATTGTTTATTTTTATCATGAGGTACATATACACTTAAACATAATATAAGAATGAAAATCTGGTAATTTTTTTTGAAAAATTAAAGATTTTTAAAATAATTTTAGGTTGTACATTTAAATATATAAGTAAATACTATATAGACTTGAAAAGTTTAATTTCAAAACTGTTTACCGATTATTTAAGTTTTTTGTAGTACATTCTTCATCTAAGTGTATAAAAAAGTAATAAAAGTTCATACATCATTTTTTTTAGTTTACTCTTAAAACTGTTATAATAATTTTTTTTCACGAAATACTTGATAAATTTTAAGTTTATAAAATTAAATAAAAATGTATTCAGTAAATAATTTTATTTATATTTATTTTAAACTTAAGCACTAAGTGGAAGAGAGGTTTCCGTCTCTCAAAAAACTTATTACACCAATCTCCTAACATACTGTATTTTTAGTTCACATTGTTAGATATGTGGAATATGGCTAAGTAAATGAAATATATTTGTTTATATAATTTTTACTTGTTTAAATATTTGCACTTCTGTTAAATTGAAAAAAATTTAATGTAATCATGTAATCAAAATTGTAATCGTGCTCTTGAATATGTCCATACATGGATCATGCTTACTGTATATGTCGTCTAAATAATAAGGTTGTTATTGAAATTATTCATTAAAAAAAGTATATCCATTTTATCAATGTCAAAACTAAATCATAATGTAAGTTAATTAAATCGAATGTTATATAGCATTGAACAACTTAAATGCCGCCTAATTTATTATGATAAATAAAAAATATTTTCAATTTAAATACTTGGAACTTATGGTAATTATATTTTAGATAACATCTAAGTGAATCAACTAATATAAAAATTAATTAATTTCAACTTCCGAATTTTAACGAACAGTGACCCAAATCAAGATTTAAGAATCTAGAGTAGTTAGACTATAATCTAGTCAAATTGAAAGAACTATTCCCTATTTGTCGACATTGTGAGATGAAAAATAGTTTATAGTGATTCAAATGAATAAATAAAGCAACTCATATCATGTTTGAACAAATCATAAAACGTGTTAAGTTTAGTATACTTATTTGAAAAATATTTTTATGTAATANTTTAAAGCAACTCATATCATGTTTGAACAAATCATAAAACGTGTTAAGTTTAGTATACTTATTTGAAAAATATTTTTATGTAATAATCAAAATTATAAATTTTTGAGTGGATAATGACCAAGTTTGGGGTTTGGTCAATTAGTGAGTATCGAAGTTCTTTCAGGGTTGTAGAGTTCGAGGGTTTAGAGTAATAAAAATAATTAAATATAAAAAGAAAAAAAGGTGTTACTCTCTATAGAGGTTTAATAATGTAATTGACTAGCACTATAAATACGACGCTGAGGTATTCTTGAAGTGGTTTGTGACCTCCTTTCTGATACCCAGTCGTAATAGGTTAACTATAGAAGATACTTCATCGAGGTATTCGTGCAGTGGCCTTAAGCCCTCCTGTTGGATAGTCAATCGAGGTGATTATTTTAAAAATGGTGGATATTAATATAAAGATCTATTGCTTTATCGTCCTTTATTTAGATTGTTAATTGTAAATAGATGGGATAAATATAATTGGCTTACCTTGTATTCAAATTAATACATGTCGATTTGAAGCTGCTTTGAGTGCTGATTGAGTATGCGCAGCAATGTCTAATTCAAAATCTTGTTTAAATATACTAATATTTGAGACAATGAAGATATCGAGGATATGTTTTATAACAAATTTTTTTTAACATAAATGACGAATTTCTATTTAACACAAAAATATGCCGACGACATAACGATGCCGCAACTTGTCAAACGATGTATGTGCACGTGTCGAATACTTAAAAAATCAAGATGAGATTTGATAAATAATCGAACGCTGGTGTTCGTGAAGCTGCTTGATCTTTTTATAGTATATTAAATACCCCCAACCTAGGGATATTGTCATCAGATTTTTTTAGTCAATATATTTTAATTGTGACAAAACTAAACATTACATGATAGCTATATTAAGATAAGACACATGGTTAATAATGATTGAGTTGATATGTATACATTCAATAAGACAATGAGTACAGTAGTGTCAGTATTATGTCAGGTAAATATTTCATTACATTCAAGTAATATAAAATACAGTTTATAAATTTTTATTGATAAATGTAAGATGCGTAATGCAAGTCATTGGACATAAATCGTCATTTATTATATTCGATGTGAAAAGTTTAAGGTATGCATAATTATAATTTTCGGAAAATATATTACGGCTTTAATATAAACCAATTTTTATTGATTATTTTAATATTTTGTAATAAAATTATCAAAATTGTCAAATAATTTATATTGTTTCGTCCTTCTACTTTAAAAATAAATATAAATATAATTAATAGATTTCAAAACAAATTTTAAACGTTTTAACGAAACTGTCAACAGTAAATATTATTTATAAGTAATTACTATAATTATTAATATGAATATTAAATTTTAG